GAGCCGGTCGTGGTTTCTAAACTCTGTTCTCCAGTAGAAGGACTCGGGGTCCTTGTAGAAATGGTTGATTATGAGGCTGGAGCAGGAAGGGACACAATAGAGCTGGAATATCTGTGGAACCAGAAAGTAAGGAAATACACAGCAAAGATGGGGCCCATCAAAAGAATGGCAGCACCACCCAAAGGAGCCACCAGGGGCCACAGCTGGACTGAATTGAGTGATAGGATAAATAATGATAGAGTTAGGCTTTAACAAAGAAATGAAATTAATATCCATGAGGCTATATATATACAACTAAATAGTTAAATTAGCAAATTAGCTAATTAGCAAATTAGTTAAATTAGCAAATCTACTAATTAAATAAAAATTAAATTAAAGTTTAAATTAAACTTTAATTAAATTAAAAAAATTAAATATATACATTAAACTGGGACAAGTTTCAGCTCTTGCCTACAGAAGAATTCTATAGATCAGTGTAGAAGGAAAGCAAAGTAGTCTCACTTTCAGGTAAGCACCATAGTGAGAACTGTTGGACACAGGCCCACTGGTGGATGCTGAGGGGTGGGTGAAGGCCTGAGAAGAGTGGCTTTGTGTATTCACATGACCCCTGAGATGTCTGTCACCTACAGAGGGTAGCCAGGTCCATAACCACCTTTGTCAGATGGTCAAGGCCTGCTTCACCCGTGAGAGGCAGTATCCACATCACGGACTCCTTGATGAAGCCATCCTGAGAAAGACAGAGTATCTTTTCTCTGCGAAAAAACAAATACTCTCTTGGCAATCAGACCAGTGTAACAGATGGACCCAGAGGAATACTAGACACAGTCACTTACCAGCCCTCTTCAAGGTGCCAAGGCCACCAGAGGCAGGGAGGCCAGAGAACCTGACGGGCTGCAGCAGATGGCCGGGCAAAGCCTCGGCGGGACGGGGGCCTGGGGGAGAGGGCGTCCTGGATTAGGAGGAAGCACGTCAGTGGAAAAACTGCTAAAATTCAAATAAGGATTGTTTAGTTAATAGTGTTATACCAATGCTAATTTTCTGGTTTTAATAATTGTACTCCAGTTGTATAAGATGTTAATGCTAGCGGAAGCTAAGTAAGGACTGTATAGAAACTTGATGTAATTATTATTGTTATTTTTTTGCCAGTATTTCTGTAAGTCTAAAGTTAGCTTAGAAGTAAAAATGGATATGGAAGGAAATCCTGACACAGGGTACAGGGTGGGTAGGCCTTGAGGACATGATGCTCAGTGACAGAAGCCAGACACAAGGACTAGGACCCTGTGGCTCCACTCATCTGCGGCCCAGGGCCGTCAGCTCATAGAGTACTCTGTGCTCCACTCATCTGCGGCCCAGGGCCGTCGGCTCATAGAGTACTCTG